TCTACTCTACTCTACTCTACTCTACTCTACTCTACTCTACTCTACTCTACTCTACTCTACTCTACTCTACTCTAATCTTCATTCTCTTCTCTTCTCTTCTCTCCTCTCCTCTTCTCCCATTCTCTGCTCATTTTTCTGTTCACCATGAATGTGAGGCTTAAACCCATGTAGGAATCCTCTGGTCTCCAGAAGCTGGGTGAAACCCACCAAGCTTTTCATGGGCCTTGTTCTCAATAGGGTTGTCAGCTCTTCTGTGCGTGGTAGAGCTTGTTGGTCATGTAGAATGTCAAATTGTAATGCTGTGGGTTGTTTTCTCAGAAGGTGAGGCTTAAACCCACGTAGGAGCAGCTCCACCTGTTCATTGAAGGTCTGGTGGTCTCCAGAAGCTGGGTGGAATCTGCTGAACTTTGCATTGGCATTGCCCCCAATGGGGCTGTTGGACCTTCTGCTCATGGAGAAGGGTTGTTGGCCATGTAGAATAACAAGTTAAAAGGCTGTAGGTTGACTATCCCAGAAGATCCTTCTGAGGTGGCTTCAGCCAACGTCAAGTAGAGTTTCCATGAGTATAAGGAGGGACCTGAGCTCTGCCATCTTCTCTTCTGAACCAGGTCTTGGTTGAGAAGGAGAAGCTGGTCTTGTGTCTTCCCAAGGAGTTTCAGAGGCCCCTTGGGGATCTGAAGGTAGGCTCAATAATGGCCGGAGGACCTAATCATCATCCTGACACTTATTAAAACAGGGAAGGCTTGTCAGAAAGTTTTTCCCACCTCACTTGCTCAGGGCTCAAACGCCTCTTATCTGTCCATCGTGTTGCTAGCACCTTTCCTTCATTTCCCACGCCCCGATCTTAGGCAGGGGCCTCGCTAACCAAGACGTCTTTTGTCTCCTTCCAGATCTCGAGAAGAAGGCCTTCGTTTTCCCGGCAGGTAACAAGAAGGCCGTCGTGCGGGTGGACGTCTCCCGCCCAGGGCATCCCTTGACCAACTTCACCGTGTGCCTGAGGTTTAAACCCCTCCAAGCCCGCCCCGCTATCCTCTTCTCTTACTACGCCAAGAACAACGGCAAGGCTTTCCAGATCAAGTACCACCCTGACCACTTCAACCTTCTAATAGGTGGGATGATGCAAATGATTGCGCATCGGAAGGCGTCACCTTCGGAGTGGCAGCACATCTGCGTGGCCTGGAACTCCACCACTGGATTGGTCCACTGTTGGCACAACGGCGAGCTTCTCCCGCGCTTCGTGATGAGAAAGGGTTACAAGATGAGCTCAAATGGGACCATCTTGTTGGGGCAAGAGAGAGATTTATCGGGGAAGAAAGATAGCTTCCTGGGTGAAATGGCGGATGTCAACATGTGGCTACGCGTCTTGAAACCCGATGAGATTCGTTTGGTTTGGAACAACGAGGAGGTCCCTAATTCTGTGGTCAGCTGGAGGGCCCTGAATTATACCATTCGGGGGGACGTCCTTGTGGAAGAGGCTTTGCACCAGGTCCCCTGAGTTGCCGAAATGTAAGCCGTGCGGTTGAAAAAGGAGAAAAATAATTTTTCTTTGGGTGGGAAAAAAATATCTGTAGTTGCAAATAGCTGAAGTAGATCGTGATTGAGATTGTAGAGGCGACCCACGCCCGCCAATCGCGAGTTGGCCTTCAACTCATCCTTGCAATAAAATTAGCCGCTTCTTGCCGCTTTTTGACAGTTATTACCATTGTAGCATCCCCATGGTCGTAAGATCAAAATTTGGATGCTTGGCAACTGACTCATACTGTATTTACAATGGTTGCAGTGTCCCAAGGTCATATGATCATCTTTTGCAACTTTCTGACAAGGCAAAGTCAATGGAGAAGCCAGATTCACTTAACGTTAGTAACAAGTGGTGTAATTCATTTAACAAGTGGCAAGAAAGATAATAAAATAGGGCAAAATTCACTTAAC